GTGGAATGCAAAAAAGGGAAAATGCCTGCTATGTTGAAGGTTATTGACTGCTGAAGAAATGCACTGGCATCAGCCGTTGTAATGGAATGCGGCATCAGCCCTTAAATCTCACGTCTCTGTCTTTGGAGACATCAGCACTACAGTTTTGCACTGATTCTGCTCTGGCAGAAGATGGACCAACCACAAGAGAATGCAGGTGACTGAGAAGACCCCAGTCATCTCAGTGTGTGTGGAGGTCTGAGTTCAACGGTATTGACACAGGTGTTGGGTTCTGCCTTTTTGATTGAGCTGGAGGGGAGGGTGTGTCATGGTGGAGAACAGCTGAACTGGATTTCTTGCGGAGACGAAGCGACCCAGGTGGTGGTGTCAGACTGCTCTGACAAGTGCTCAGTGGGTCGTTGTACTAATGACCTCTCTGGATTTCATGAGCAGGCTGGAAACTCAGATGCAGCCCAAACGCTCAGAGAAAGAGGATCACTGGAGATTTCTTGTGTATGGATTACATATCTTGTATATGAATTAAAGAGGTACCATATCCCTTCTGTCCCTAGCCTGACCCCAGGCTAACTTACTAAATAATTCACTTCCAAATTTCTACTGTTTTAATGTCATCCATGTAAAAAAGAGTACTAGACATTAAAGCAGCACAAGTTCTAATTTTATTAGTGACTATACATACACTGAAAAGAATGTGAATGTTAGAAGTAGTACAAGAATGGATTATGCATTTTCTCTTGCTTATATGCAATACATACATGGCTCTGATATTAGTATTATGGTGTGGGCAGTTCAGGGATTTAAACAATGCAGACATAACCAGTTACCGTAAGAATAAAAACGCGGTGCCTTCTCATAATGGAGCATACGTTCCCATTCTCATAACATCCCAAATAAAAAAAAATAGATTGCTTTTGTAAAATCAGGTTTAATTCTGAGTGTTCATTTCTTAGTGCACTGTCATTTCACTAACAAGCACAGTGTTGCAAGATAATTTTTAATCTGTGCTCAGCTGCTGCAGCAAATCAACCCAACATCTAACTCTCACATGCAGACTTGGACTTAAACATGTTACAAAAATAGAATGCCTTTGTGTAAAAAAAAGCTGCCAATAATCAGAAAGGTCTTTTAGGAAAATTCTTTTGGGGAACGGTGTTTGCAGCACGCATAAAGGAGAGCAGAGGGGTGCTTGTTAATTGGTTTCTGGTTTTCCATGTGGAAAAAGAAATAGTGACTAAAATAATACTAAAGTAAAAAAAAAAGGAAAACAAAACAAACTAAAAACAACCCAAAAAACCCCAAACCCTGAATCTTTTCTGAGGCAGTATTATCATGGAGTGGTAAAAAGACAAAGACATTTTTGAATTACAGTATGATAAAAACCTGTTGAACTAGAAAGACAAAATTGTAACTGACTTTGGTCTTCTGATCATCACTTCCAGCTATCATCTTCTCTCTCAGCTGAAAGTGTGTCATACATTTTAGGATGTCACTGGTGGGAAGATGGTGCCTATGATTTTATTGTTAACATGGACTTCTTGTTTGTCTTGAGTCACTTAAAATATACTTAATGATGAAGACGAGACAGATGTTTACACAGAAGATCTGAAACAAAACAAAAATGTGAAAATGTAGCATGCATAATGTTTAGAGTGAAATATAGTCACAAATATTATCCATAGCACATTGATAAAAATTTAGAGGAAACATTGACATTTCAAGGTGATACTACTGAAAAAAAGAACAGAGTAATACCTGCTTATACACTGTTCATGTAAACACACAGAAAGTTTAGTCTCATTATATGATCACTAATGGGGTTTCTGATGGGCTGTTGGCTCACTTCAGGATATTTTTTTTCTGACCTTGGTGCGTATCACTTAAGGGCTACACAGTCTTAAGAAAAACGAAGTTCAGCTCCAAAGACTCCTGTACAGCACAATGTTCAAGTGCCTCCTACCTCCTGGTAAATTTATCCTCAGTTGCAAAGTTACTTCCACCATTTTGGAGAAGAAGCTAAGCTTCTTAAATGCATTAGACCCTTAAACACTCTTAAACACTTTTAGATGCTAAAGATAACCTGGAATAGGAATATAACTTGTTAATTTGCAGAGCTGAATTGCTGTATGGTGTATTGCTGATACTCGGTCATTAGTGCACTAATAATGCATAGAACAGATTAATTTGAACAATAAATGAGTTAATGCAGCATAAAAGGAAGTGAAGAGTTTTGATTTTTGCTTTAGTAACTCTGTCGTAGAGAAGCCTATTGACAGGCTGTTGAAGTACTGCTGATTCAAGCTTAAACAATCATTCTGCTAGGATCATTCTCCTTTTTCACCTATATGAGAGTATATCCTGTTTTGTCTTGGCAGGAAGAGCAATGTTGTACCTTTACCGAGCTGAAGGTCATTTAAATAAGTTTTTCCCCTCCTTGCCTTGTTAATTGTATCGTAAGAACTTGGACTACTTTAATTCCCTAAAAGAAGCATGTTTAATACCTGTTTGACTTAATGGAGTTTTCTCTTCATGTAACAGTAAAATTGGGATCAAAACACATCATGCCAAAGTCATGCTTCTGAAATGCATGTGAATGTGGGCATGTATGTGTACCCCATGTGTGACCCATTTTGAAAACCAGAAACTGTTGGATATACCGTATACTTACACCCCATGACCCAATGGAAGTAGTGTCTCAAGAGTAAGTCCTAAAGGCAAAAATTTATAGAAGCAACAGAGTGTGAACCTATACAGCTTATAAAAATGGTGGAAAATCAAGGTCAAGCCAGTTGGTGGAATAGATCTATTTTTGAAAGGACCCAACAAGATTTTGATTGATGTTTTTAATTCTGTGGTGTTTCTTTTGGTATTTAAATGTCACCTCTTTATTATTTGGTTTCTCCAACTGTACCTTTTCAAATGAAAATTGTATGTAGAAATCATCGTTCATTTTTTACTTTTCACGGTGTTGATAAGGCATGTGATGTTAGAGACAGCGGTGTTTCAGGAACAGGCAGAGCAGACTTGCATGCAGCTCTATTCTGTAAAATTAATTAAAAGTTAAAAGAGAGTAGATGTTTGCAGTTGGTAGGAATTCTTTCTTGATCAGTCTGCAGTTCATCTCTCTGCAGAATTCCAAATCAGACCCTGTTGGTAATGCAGAAATATTGAACTGAATTCTCAGCAGCAATAGCTGACTGTGCCAATTCTTGATTAGAAATGACTGAAAGAGAGAGCTCTTATCTTGTGGAAATTCCAGGAGCAATCTAGGGTCAGGACTTCCTTGCCTGGCTGCCATGCCAGATAGTTAACCTGCCTTATTTCCATTATTAATTTTGAGGGATCAGCATGCTTTGGTGAAACAATGTGATTTTGGGAAACAGCATTTTAAAATAAAACTCTCTTTAGCAAACTCTTGACTATTAAATACGGCTTCTAAAGTATTAACTTCAGAAGACCAGTAATGCTTGTTCACAAGCCTATGTTCAGTCTCCTGCGGGAAGTGCAGTCACCATCAGAGTGTGGAGTGCAGGTAAAGCTGGGTAAAAGCTGTGTATCAATTAGGCCCCAATTAAGTTCTGTATTCATAATGACTGAGGTGTGAAGACTTTTTTCTAGTCTTTGTTATAAATTAGTTATAGTCTTTTGTCATCACATCTTATTCAAACCAAAATAATAAGTGTTATTTTATGCCTATCCAACTATTTCTAGGGTAGCATTGAATTTTTATGACTCTTCCACTTTTTAAAATCTTTTTTTATAGTATCGTAGAATTGTTTAGGTTGGATCATCAAGTCCAGCTGTGAAGCTAACACTGCCCTGTCCACCACTAAATCATGTCCCTAAGTGCCATACGTACACATCTTTTAAATAGCCTCGGAGGTGGAGACTCAACCACCTGCCAGGACAGCCCATTCCAATGCCTGACAACCCTTTCAGTGAAGACATTTTTCCGAAGATCCAATCTAAACCTCCCCTGGCACAACTTGAAGCCATTTTCTCTTGTCCCATCACTTGTTGCTTGTGAGAAGAGGTCAATCCTTCACCTCTCTGCAACCTCCTTTCAGGTGGTTGTAGACAGCAATAACGTCTCCTTAGTATCCTCTTCCCCAGGCTAAACAACCCCAGTTCCTTCAGCTGTTCCTCAGAAGACTTGGTCTCTAGACCCTTCACCAGCTTTATTTCCATGATTTGGATGCACTCCAGCCCCTCAGTTTCATTCTTGTAGGCAAGAAGACCCAAAATTGAACACAAGATTGGAGGTGTGGCCTCACCAGTGCTGAGCACAGGGACACAATCACTTGCCTGGTCCTGCTGGCCATTTCATCGGCCTCTTCATCCTGGTTGGGTCATCTGTAACAGACTCCCATGAGGCTGTCTGCCTTGTTGGCTTTCCCCCTGATTCTTACCCATAAACACTCAACCTTATCACCACCATCATTAACCTCTAGGCAGTCAAAACACCCTTTAACATACAGGGTTACCCCACCGCCTCTCCTTCCTTGCCTGTTCCTTCTGAAGAGTTCGTAGTCGTCCATTGTGGCACTCCAGTTGTGCGAGTCGTCCCACCATGTTTCTGTGATGGACCAGTCATCCCAAGAAGACTCTCTTGATTGCCCCTGGACTTGTTGCAACTTCACTGCTGCCGACCTGAAAAATCAGCAGTGGATAGTAGTGCGAGGGCTGTACGAGGATAGGAAGCTTTCTCTTCAGCCTGCAGCCGGACACCAGAGATGGCAGTGTGTTCCCAACGGAACTCTGTCTGGGAAGCTGTGTGCAGCTTCCCAGCGTTGTGCGTGCAGAGCTGAGAGAAGCCACGGCTTTTCTGCTTAGTGGATACCATCGTTCTTTAGTCGATCTGCCAGAGCATCAGCACCCTTCCTGCACGCCCTTCTCTGCGAACGGCCAGGTGAACTGCTGCAGGTGCCACACCGCACCCTTTTGTGCCGCACCATACTGATGCTCCTGGTCACTGGAGCTCCCCACGGGCTTCTTTTACAGGCATGGTGATCAGGTCTCACCAGCTCCTGGGGCACGAGCTGCGGGCTCCTGGTGGCTTCCCTTGGCTCTCCCAAGGTTCCACCAGTTCGGAACCCCGCCTGTGCGCTGTGCTGGAGCGTTCTGCTGCAGATCCTGCCAGCACCAGAGCAGTTTGCCTTGCAAAAGCAGATGATGGTTCCCTTACAAAAGCAGATGATGTGGATTTAGAAAATTGCCCTTTTGTTTTGTTGTATTTTATTCTGCCAGTGGGATTGATGTTTACTGTGAAAGCTTTGGTTTAGATCCGAAAGAAAAGCAACATTGTACAATATAGATCCAACAGGTAACGATTAAAATATGGCACACTTGAAATTTTCTCTTAAATTATGTCTCTTAGGGGAGAATCCACTATGTAACCATGTATTTTACAACTGTTACAGTAAACTACAATATATATTATATACTGTAAATGATAAATGTGATACTGTAGGGGCAGAGAAATTGAATAGTTTTTCTTTTGCCCTCAACAATAAGACAAAACAAAGACTTAGCACCATAAGGGACAATCTTTTTTTCCAGTCCAGTATAAAGCTTTTTGTGGAAAGTCTTATGAAATATTAAACTAACTTGAACTTTCCATAAAATATTAAATTAACTTTGCCTTGGCTTAAAGCCATTTCTTTGACAACGGAGAAGGATAATCAACTTAAAAGCCCTCACGCCGATGAAGTATAAGACTGCCTGATACTTTAAGGAAAATGCAGGATGTACTCCAAAATGACTACTCAATAAATTGTACCTTTGGGGGGGCATGTACAATTCCAAAGCTACTGGGTGGGTTCAAAAATCCTCTCTCATGTAAGTAAATGACTTAAAATCTCAGTTGCAGTATCTATTACTCTCTTGCCCTTGGTCCAGGTAGCTAGGCTTTTTACCCGTGCATCTCCAGGAAAGCTAAATATGTCTGTGCAGCCGAGCTCCCCTGTTAGTGCTTCTGCCGCAACCTTGGGAAAGCTTTCACCGTTGCATCTGACACGGTATTATGTGATTGCAGCCTGTTCTTATTAATATGCTTCTGTTAAGCCGTATAGCTCCTTCATTCTTCCTTCAACAAATTGCTATCTTTGACCAGTAGTGTCCCATCCTGTGCAGCAAAATGCAGTGATTTTGTTGCAATTGAAGGACAGAAGATCTAGTGAGATTTGAGGCAAAAAGAAAATAGTGGCTCAGAAAGCAAGGTGGCGTGTGGCTGTGTATGTGCGTACGTGTGTGTGTTTGTGTGGAGTTGTATGAAGGAGAGGGGAAAAGAAGGAAAATTTTTGCCTTGAAACAACATTTTGTAGGCGTTCCTGTTTATACTAGAAGTCTTCAGTATTTTTTATCTCGCAAGATCATTTCAGCTTCTGTATTAACGGAAGGAAAAAAGAAAAAGACAATTAATTTTTGACTGGGATATTGTAATTAGATGAATCACTGTAGTAATATGTCCTAGCCCAGGGTTTTACAGACCTGATTGCCAGCATATGCAGTATGTTTGAATGAATCAGCTGTTTGATGCAGGTAAGAACCAATACAAGGTGTTGTGACTGCAGTCGCAAAATGATACAGTTGCCATACTAATGCTTTTATGTGATTAAAGAAAACAAAACTGGGTAGATATGACAGTTTTATTACCATAAGTTCCAGGTTATCAGAAAAGATCTCTTACTAGATTGCAGAAGTAGCTTGATGTTTATAAATCTTTTCTGAGCATTATGAGCTGTGCAGATCTGTGCAGATCTGATTTGAATTGAGTTATCCTGACTGATGCCATCTGACAATGACACATCATTTCTTTAATTCATCTTATCCCAGGCATCCAATGTTTATGCATTTTACAACTTACCTTTAATCTTGTTTAACAAAAACCCATCAGCACTAAATCAGTGCTCTCTTACATAGCTTAATATATGAGCTGCAGATTCATCATCAACCTCTTAGATTTCTTAATTCTTGGAGACACTGAGGGTTTATGATTCCTCTCAGGCTTAGCTGTGTTAGCTGCAGGAGTTAATCACATTATAACCCTATTGCAGCTAAGTCTCAGTGTTATGGAACTAAAGCTTCATATTCCTGATTGTGGGCTTCTCCTCTGGGGTCTTTGTTTGGAAAGACCTGGAAGAGAAAGCCTCACATCCATGTGCGTGCTGACTAGCTGGCGCTCCAGCTGACTGATCAGCAAACAGTGGACTATGCAAACTAATTGTATCTGAGAAGAGGGAAGAGGAAGCAGCCTCAGACCTGCAAGATAAACAATAGCCTTGGATAGCCCTTGGAGGGCGTCCTTCAGGGTTACTTTAATGGAGGTTATACTTTTTGGAAGGCTATTATTAATCAGTAGTAGTAAGATACTAAAAAACAGCCATTCAGGGACCTACACATAGGGAGATGAAATCCTGGTGAAATCGTGTATCTTGGACCTGCAGGAGGGGAGGAAGAAGAAAATAAAATGATGCTTAGCGAATAGAAGAGCAGAGATCAGGAAAGGTGAAAAAAAGATAAAAGTGATCTTTGAAACAGCATGTGAGGACTGTCAGTGAAAGGTTTACCTAGTGACTTGATCTAGAAAAAGTAGATAAGAAATCAGGTCACAATAACGGACAGTAGCTCATGCAGGTTTCCTGTTGGTTTCTGAACCATGAGCAGCCATGGAAGTTGAGGAGACAGATCTCCCAGCCTCAGAAGAGGTGGTACCAATTTACCAGAAGAAACATTCTCCTAAGTCTGTCAGAGCTGAAGATGTCACCTGAGCTAGAGAATGCTATTTCTTTTGTATACTCTTTGAAAACCATTATCTGATGAGATAATTGAGAGGGATAGCATACTTTGTTCCAAATATGCACACGAGGCAGCACATTGCAGGGAATGCTGGTTTAGTGCAGTGTTCTTTTTATATCCTTCTGGATAAATTCAGATTTAAGCCTTGGAAGATGAAGACAAAGGCTGTCTTGAGGGTTCCATTGATCTTAGAATGTTATTTTAATCAATATGAAAATAGTTTGTAACAATTTATTCAATGATTCCTCTTAACATAAGTTCAGATCTATCAGTATCCTCCTCTTTGCTAGTTTTTGATTGCTTTAAAAGTTGTAGTAAGCAATATTTTGGTCAGAGACTACAAAACCTCGTTGTTCCTGAACGAGTATCTCATGATTTTTATCCGTGGAGGGTGGTGTCTTTTTGCTAGTAATGATTATATGATGAAGTGATGTCATGCTGAAAGTAGTGGCTTCTACAGCTTCTAAGATGGAGGTGTAAATGGAGGTGTAAACCTCCATTAAAATGGAGGTTAAAAATATTGGTTTTGTAGTCCAATGGTAGAATTGGTAGATGGCACCCTTTTGGGCTAAGATGAATTTTTGCAGCAGCATTCAAATTTTTATCATTGTGGTTTGGCAGAGTTTTGAGATCTGGTACACAGATCTCAAATTGTTTGTCCAGCACAGGATAAAACAATGTTTAACCTGCTCTCACTTGTGTAACACTGTGACCATTGCTAAGCTTTTGATAAAGTATGTGTGTTGTTGGTACAGGAGGGTTTCCTGTGTTAAAACAGAATGGGAGAGGTGCTTCCTAGGTGTCTGGAGTAATCTACTGAAATATAAATACATTGTCTGTGATTCTGGCATCCCATAAATGCACAGTTCAAGATGCTTGTTGTCCATGTGAATAGGTTAGGCAAGTGTGATCTTGTCTTGGTTTATCACCAGAAAGCAAGCAAGTACCACACAGCCTCTTGCTCACCTCCTCCATCCCCTAGTGGGGTGGGGGAGAGAATTGAAGGAAAAAACAAGGAAACTCATGGGTTAAGAACAGTTTAGTAACTGAAAATAAATGAAATAAAATAACTAATAATACAATACTAACAATACTAGTAATATTAACAACACTGATATTACTAGTAGTAGTAAATAATGAAAATACTACTACTACTACTACTACTATGTAATGAAAATAATGGGAAAAATCCCCAAATGATACAACTGCTCACCACCCTCTGACCAATGACCAGCCAGTCCCCAGCAGCAAGAGCCAGAACCAGAGTGAGCAAGCCAGAGCTTGAGATCCCCAAGTAGTTCCTGTTAAGCTCTTGAGAACAGGCAAAGGAGATGGCCTGTCCTTCCACAATGTGTTCTGGTTCACAAGTGTTGATGAAATCCTGGTGTGCTGTTAAAAAAAAAAAATCAGTCCTCAGACGGCTAGTTGACCTGTTTGGATTACAAAGAGATTGTCTCCAGGGCTTTTTTCCTCTACTGTGTTCTCTTAGTATTCTTCTCTAAAAGCCATGCTTTTCTCATTTCTTCAGAAGTCAACTGTAGGCTTCAGAAACTTTCAGCCTTGGAATTCTTCAGTTTTTCTGTGATTATTCTGTCTCCTGAAGAGGTAATAGAGGGGAGACATGATGGCACATACAACTGAGAGAAAAATGCTGGATTGTTGCTGGGGATTTTGTGTGGTGTTTTTTTTTTTTTTTTTTTTTTTTTTTTTTTTTTTTACATTTTTCTTAAAGACAGTTGTTAAGGCAAAGATGGTTTCCTGTCTTTGGTAGTTCTCCACCCATAAGATTTTCTACAGATTTTAGAACTGCAGTATACCTGTGTTACAAGGCCACAGCTAACACATGAGTTGTAAAAACAAGTATGCAGATTTTAGTGCTTGAGAGAATGCATTCTAAAGACATTGCAAAAAAATTCTTAATCTTTCTAAAGAAAACACTCAGGTACCTCATGACATGAATAGGTCTGACATTTGGCACTGAAAGTCAAATGACTGTTGAGGGTCCTTGCTAGTACTATATGGGATAGCATTTTGTGGAATATAAGCAACAGGCAGCAAATCATTTTATAGTTGTAGAATATGTAGACATAAAACAGCATCGGATGGCTTGAAATGCTTTATATTGTTGTTTGCAGTGGATTCCTAGAGGTGGGTGGCTTTGTAGATTTAATAATCAATTTATCAGTTCATTCAGTTCCCTTCTTTTCCAGGACTGAGTCATTTATTATGCAGTTATGATGAACGTAGAGAAAAAGACCTCTATACGCTGTATCATCCTAAAAAAGGATGATCTCATGAACTTAATTTTCATTCTTTGGGGTGGCAGATCAATCAGAAATGTGTGCTGCAGAAGAACAATATGACAAAAGGATATGCTGAAAAGAGGAAAATGGATGCAGTTTATCGCTGGTGAAGGCTTACAGCTTAAAGGAGTATCTGTTCCAGACACTGAACCCTTCAAAAAACCATCCATCTTTCCCAGTACACAGGGAATGGAGAATAGTTGTCCTTGTTTTATTACCCAAAGATATTTTGATGGCTGTATTCCACACAAGGGAAAGACAGCTAAGTTTCTTCTTTGTATCCAGATAGGGGTAAGGTTAGACACAGAGGAAAAAGTTTAATTTAAAAAAGTTGCACACTTATAATTATTGATGATAACATACCACTGATATACTTATGTTGAAATATTAAAATTTTATTTGATATCCAGAAACTAGTTCAAAATAACAAAAAGTACATCAGCCTATATATGACAACAACAACAACAACAACAAATGTTTAATTACATGTATTGGTTCTGAAACATCTACCTTAGTATCAGTCAGGAATGTTTCTCAAATTAAGAAGTATAGCTCATTAAAAGGAAATAAACTGGAATGTTTCTGTGCAGCTAGCTTGACATTAATGATGTGCACAAGAGAAAAACATCACCTTACATTATGTGTGTGCAGTTGTGAAGAAGGTGGACACTTTGCTGGAATACTTAGCTTTTACACAGTTGGTCTGTCTTTTCTTTCCCTCGTGTTTGGAAGGGTCCTAATTTTATTAAATGCAGGACAGTCTCAGTTCCCTTTGCAAGTGTGAACAACTCAAAGCCCTCAGTGCTTTACTGGGTGCGTTGAGTTTCTGAAGAGTCTTACTTTGCCTAGTTACTGATTTCAACCGAGCAAACAAAAAACAGGAAACCTAAAGTTGCAACTCGCTATGTATAGTTTGCTGTGTGTATTTCCACGCTCTTTGGAACTGCTTTTCTTGTTAGGTTTGCGAGGTGTTTTGTAAAGCTTGTTCCACATACACATGAAGCTGCTTATCTGTTACTTTGCTGCCAAAGAGACCTTTGTCAGGTTAGATCTCATTTGGGTTTTAAACCAGGGTCTCTTATGAAACTCAGATTTCTTGCTTTCTTGGGAGCTGTGAAGCCAGGAAAACACGTCTGATCAGTAGCAAGAAGCACTACAGCTGAGGACAGTGCCTGATAGTTAATTTGTCCTTTGAAGTGTCTTAGAGAATGGGCTTTGTTTTTTTCTCATCATTGTCACTCAGTGCAACTGTCTTCTAATGTGTTACAGAACAGGAGCAAACGCCTGGAGAAAGTCCATGTTGTTCTTGGGAATAAATCCTGTGATTTGGATTCGCTCATTTCTACTCTGGCCTATGCCTACTTTCTAGACAAGGTATGGAAAAAAAAATGGACCAAGTGGTCTAAACACATTTGTTACAAGTTGTTTTAGGCATCGTATTATTAAGTCAATTAAACTGTAAAACCATTATTATGGATAATTATTTTGCTTGAATCAGAGCTGAAGTTTTAAACAGGAACAAATCTAGATTTCTTTCAATACAAAAATTAATGAGTTGTTATTAGGTGGCTTACTCAATAGCAGCAAAAAGTCACTCCAGTACATCATTCTTTCTCCTTACTGCTTCCTAGCTTCCTAGTTTCCCAGTGATTCTATTGGATGCAGAGACAGAAGAACAAGAAAAATGCAAAATATGTTTTCTTAAAAAATGAAGTAAAAGGGAGAAAACAAGCAGAAGATTCGAACTGTTTCTAATTGCTTATTCTGTTAAAACATCTTTCTAATAAAAACCAGGTCTTATTTTATGCAACTCTGACAAATGCACACCTATGTTACAGGTCAGCCCTCCTGATGTTCTTTGCCTACCTGTGTTAAACATACCAAGAAGAGATTTTAGCTACTTTACTGAGACGAGATTTATATTGGAGGAGCTGAATATCCCGGAGTCATTCCATATCTTCAGAGATGAAATCAATTTGCACCAGCTGAATGCTGAAGGAAAATTGTCTTTAACACTTGTAAACAGCAACATGCTGACAAGGTATTGCATTGTATGTACAAGAAGATGGCTTATGCGGGTTGGAGCTGTTTTAGGAATTACGTTTTGCATACTGCAAACGTCTGTTAAGACAGACAAACAAAGGAAGTTAAAATATGTTTTGTCTCCCATTATGTCCAATGAATGTAACAAATAATCATCTTTCCATCACTTTTAATGGAACACGTTTTTAAGGACCTTGTGTTTTCACACAGCTTTGATTACCTATTTTAATTTAGTTTAAGCAGTCTGGCAGTTTCCTGTGACTTGCAAGTAAGAGATCAGATTTTTTCCTCACTTAGTTTTCACTTAAGGCATTAGGACTCTCACCTTGATTTGGCCAGGCCACTTGCATCTGTGATGTTAAGATGACTGCTAGATTATTGCAGTCCATACAAAATACAGTGTTTTTCTCAGAATGTCCTTAGTGCCAGAGGCTCAGAGTTGCGCTGTGGAAGATCAGAGCCTGTATACCCATCCTTAAGAGGAGATATTTACAAGCCCAGAGTGAATCTTCCATAGGCAGCCTGTTTAGAATGGTCTGCCTGTCTTGCCTAGAGTGAAGGATGCTGTTTACTTCCAACTGTCTCTGGAATTTCATTTAACATAAGCAACATACTGTTCTGCTATGGCCCCACCTACTCTGAGGCGTTTGTAGATTAGAATAAAAGTAGGGAAAATCTAAAATGAGAATTATGCGTAAATCTCATGGCTATTAATTCTTTAACTGCAGTCATCTTAGTACATTGTTTACTTTTTTAAAAGCAGAAATTATTCGTAAGACTTGCTTTTTATTTATTACTGACCCTTCATGTGTTTCTTCTTTCTAAAGAATTAGGATTTGCATTTTATATTATTAAATTACTTTATAGTATTATACAGTTTGGCTTTGTTATTGCTATTATAAGCAGAAGCATAAAGTGTCTAAATGCAAAAAAAAAGATCTTTCATAATTTTTCAAAATATTCCATGGGGAAAATCCCAAACCTTCCCTATATAAAGAGTGGTATTTTCAGTATGTGTAGAAATGCTATTTTCAAATTCTTAATTTTTAAAGATGGTGATAATGGAAATGTAAACATTTAAATCTTAGTACTTAGTGATTTATCAAGTAATGAAACCATTGTGAAGACTAATGAAAAAATTACAGTTTTAGGACTTAATTGTGACATTCTTTGGCTTTATAGCAGACTTCAAGTAGCAATAACATGGTCTTATAGTCCAGAAATTTTTTAAATTTTTGCACTGTGGTTTTTTTTTTTGTCTAAGCAACTAGATAGAAAGATATATATATAATTTTTAAATTTGCTTGATAGTGAGGATAAAAGTTTGGAATCAGCTGTTGTCAAAGTCATCAGCCCAGATGAGCAGTGTGACAGCAGCCTGGAGTTACAAGCGTCTTCTTCCTCCTTAGTAGTAAAAGAGATTCTTCAAGAGGCACCAGAGTTAATCACTCAACAACTGGCTTATCTCCTCAGAGGTGAGAGATTACTCTTTATATTAAATACTGAAAGGTTTAATGGAGTGTTTCTGAATCTGTTCATGCTGATCCATTCTTTGGTTAACAATCCCTTTAAAGACCACAGGAAGCTTCATAAAAGAAGCAGGGAGTAAAGAGTTTGTTAAAGAGTAACATTATATTGAATATGAAAAATGTGCATTTAAAAATAGGCATGAGAGGTCTTTGCTGTATCACTAGACAAGAATATTAAATGGAGCTGTCGACACACCAGCTGGGTAGCTGGAAAAACTGTGCAGTTCGTTGATTCCAGGGGCTGCGCAGTGCTGCCAGTTCAGCTCTGCCTGCCTGTGGACAACAATATGGATTGGAATCTAATATTTACATGTTAAAGCTTCTCCCGATGGTGGCAACTTTTTGTAGAACGATGTTTTCACGGCATGATGGGAAACTTCTGCTGTTTAAAAACGCTGTAACCAAATCTTCATTGTGCTCTCCTTTTCTTTTTTATCGTACGCCTGGTAGAGTACAAAGGATGGGGCTTATCAACAGTCAGAAGTGTTTTCATTTCTGTCTTCATAGTTCATTGTTTCTACTAGTCTCCTTCTTTTATTTGCCGCAGCAGAACTCTTCAGTTGGAAAAAAACCTGGGATTGGAAAGAACTGATTGCCTCTTCTAAGTTATTTACTGAACTTTAGTACTGTCTAATGAATTCTAAGGATTTTGGATTTTAATGGAAGTGCAACTGTTTAATGCCATTTTAAGAAATTCATGTGGGCATGCTTAATGAGGATTAGGAAAACTTGTCTACACTTAGATTCCATATATGCTACTGGAGTCTTGTCTTGTCATTGTCCTCATCACTGATAACTAATGTAATGAGTGTGTTGTGAGAAATCACAAAAGGTAATTTTAATTATTTTTTTAACGTTTCCACAGAAGAAGCATTAACAGTAACATAGCATTTAGCCTGCTCTTCTAGTATCTTTTCATGCCAATAAGCTCTATTAAACCTGCCATGATTTATTTTTGTAAGCTCCAAATTTCTGTTGAGTAGCTATCCAGGAATCTAGGCAGATCACCAAGCATCATAATTGATTTTGGAGACAGAACCAAAAAAAGGCTTCTGGGCATCTCTCAGGATACCTCTTTGGTGGTGGAAGGAGTCAGAAGGCAGTGCCTGAGTAATGAACATGTTCAAATACTACGCATGGTTGCAAGTGTCTGCATATTTCAGCTCTCTAGTCTGTGTCCAAATTAAAATAGTTTCTATTAGAGAAATATTGAAAGTGTTTGTTATAGTTATCACTTCCAGTTTTGAGTAAGACAGTAGCTAATTATATTTTTTTTTTAAATTAGCAACTTCATTTTAATTACTGTGTTTGGTAGCACATGTTTGAGGATTGTAGTGAATATAGGAGTCTCTACATACCTTCTCTTGCATGGTGTGAGGGGGTTGGAACTAGATGATCTTTAAGGTCCCTTCCAACCCAAACCATTCTATGATTCTACGATTACTGACGAAACCTAAACAACGAAACACCGCTGCTCTTGTGACTTGATGCTTTTTCTGCTTCTCCTAGAAGCGCAGTTTGTATGTATAGAAGGTTAAGCAATACAGTGAGTTCTCTTGAGGCTCTCTTAAAATAGAAAGGTTTTTGGTACTTAAGAATCTTCCATTGCAAATGCAGAAAAGCAGTGAATCTGGTCATTACTGGTTTTGATAAGATTAAAAAGTCCTAGATATAAATTTATGTAGATGGCATCAAACTACAAGCAGTCTTAAAATATGAGTTGAAATACAACCTACCCAAGTCTAGATTTTGTGTTTCTCTGTATAGATTTGCCTTTCGTCAAAGTCTGTGCCCATAAAGTATAGCTCTTGAAATGCATCTCACCTGTGAGCATAGGAGATAAAGAGACCACATGTCACGGTCTGAAAGGATGGGTGGCTGCTTCATTCTCACCACCAGTGAATGAGGTGTAGAGGCCTGCAGGGTGTCCCATCTCTCTGGTGGCACTCCACAGGTATAGAGCTGAGGGAAAGTTCCTACCGGGTTTTTCCCACTTTTTTATGTTACCTTCCATGTAAATCTGTATATTTTTAGTAGGTATAAATGTTGGGGGAAGTTCAGAACAAAAGGCCAAAGTGGAAGTCGTAGTGCTAAGAATTAGGATTTCATTTTGATGAACAGCTGAGAGAACCTAACATCTGGGCCTCTGGGCTGGCAACTCATCTTTCATTTTCTGGCTTTGCAGTGAGTATTTTGCTATAAGACTTGTAAGATAATACAGGTATCTCATGTGTTAATAATTACTGCATAGTGGCTGTAACAGCTTCATTTGTTGCCTCTTTTTCAAACTTCTTTTCTCACAGTCTGTTAGCAATTTTTTATTAATTTTAATGCCAAAGGCAGGTGTTTGGAACTTGCCATATTACAGCTTTGAACAAACTTCACCAGCATTTCTGTGTTAAAAAAAAAAAATCAAGACAAAAGACTTTTCCAGTGAAACCAAGCATTATTGATTTAGACATTTTAATATTTAAGGAATTTTTTTTTTAAGTTGAATGCTTTGCTGGTATGTTTGTGTCCCAGTCAGACATACTCTAAGTTACTTCTACCTTTCGTCTTCGAATAGACCCTGCTTGGAGAGTGTTGTACAGCCATATTTGCCTCAAGTTACAGCTTGTGCTGTTCCTGGATTTGTGCCAGAAGCAAACAATTATAAAACCTGCCAGAGTCTTGGGTCTGTATTATTTTATTTCCCCAGAGATATTTACAAGGGGACTGTTGCCAAACTCAAGATCCATTAAACTGCTGAATCATTACATTTTCTGTTGCAGCCAGCTGGCAAAGATGTGATTCCAAGCACTCACTGTCAGGTACCTTGGGTCAGTGCACTCTCCAAAATGCCTCCTTATGTTTATTTGTATAAGGCCTTGAAGGATGCCACAAGGTGCAGACTGCAACATGTAAATAGAGACAGATTTATAGCAAGAGCATCAGCAAGTTTTTTTATATGAATCTGCTTCTGTTAGTTATGAGCTGCATAGCTGAGGTCTTCTCCTGCCTTGTTGGGGCAGCCTGGCTTTCAGCAGAGATTAGTTTGTCATTCTAGCCACCCAGACGAATGTTAAGAAATGCCCTTTTAAGGACTTTGGGAATGATGCCAATTTTTTATTTGGTTCTGTTTGGTACATCAGTCAGATGATTCACATGTTCCCTAATTGGTGCATCCTTAATATATATGCCAGAAAGAAAGGAGCGTTTTGAATTGCACCAAATGCTTCATTTATTTGGATTGATACTGTTGTTTTTATGTATGGAAACAGTTTTCTTGGAGGCTACGCTTCCCTTCCACCCCATCCCACTTACGTTTTATTCCAGCTTTGTGGCTTTCCTGTTAATTACAGTGAAGACTGCTTGCTTGGGTTCGTTTTACAGTTTTGGTTTGTGGGGATTTTTTGGGGTGGGGAGTGCTATATTATACTTGCCATGAGAGACTGTTGGTTTCCCAGTTTTCCCTGTCCATTGTTTTTCCAGGTCATGGAACAAAACCTTGACAGGAGAAATGCCTATATTTTCATTGTACTGTTTCTCTCAGCCATAAACTTATAATTCAGGAGATGCTTGTGCTGTTCTTAATGTTTTCCCAAAACGACTTCTGCCTTCATTAGATCATGTTTAATATTAATGCACAGCAATTGCTTTTGGCAAAACTAGTGCTCCACTTCCAAACTGCTTTGCAAAATACAATAAAATGCACATTTTTTTAACAGTCCTAGCCTATTTTCTAGTGACCTCTCCTTCAGAAAATATTATCTGTAATATATTGTGATGTACACAAGAAATAATATTGAATCTTGTTTTGCCTATTGTATATTTTTTTTTCCTGTGCTTGTCAGGAGGCAGAGCAGCCTCCATTATGCTTTCAGAAACCCTGGGGGAGTTGCACCAGCATTCAGTAAAATCGGCAGGAGATTTCTGAGCCCATGTATCTCTTTTACAGCAGGTACTTAGAGGAGACCACATGACTAAATGGGCTACTGACCTTTGGCCAAGCAAAAGTACCTTGAGTGAACTGTTTTTTTAAACTGTCTGGAATCTTAACCCTTACAGGGTTGTTCAGGATGGCTGGAAGAAA